GAACGCAACAAGGACTTGTCGAAACATTCGGCATGACCCACGGAATACTAGAACTAGCGCGAAGATACTATAGCGGACGCGAAAATATGGAGTTACCGCGAGTAATATTTAAACGCAACTATTCTAACGCGAGAAGTAACCGAACGCGAATAATATTTTAACTCGAATAATATCCTAACGCAAGCACTATCTGAACGCAATCATTCTGACGCGAATAGCATTCTCTCATAATTCAACCAACGCGAATAACATTCTCCAACCAACGCAAATAACACTCTCACGCAATATTAAACCAACGCGAAGAACATTCTCACGCAATTAATATCGCGCGTAAAATCTAACAATAAGTCCCGACCGGGCGAATTACGACGCACCGTGAAACACGCGGTCGCGAACACGAAGGTCGCGAGAAACGGCGTATTCACGATATCGAAAGTCGTCCTTAACGCGCCCCTCACGATCTCCAAGTGCTTGCGAATTTTGGTCGCGATCCCACGACCACGAGACCATTTCGGTGTCCCTCGGTTTTGCTGTCGATCGCCAAATCAACGCCTTATCAACGAATAACGCTAATTACCGCGATTACTACCGAGCGAGAGCGCGCCCCGGAGAGCGGTGTCGTGTGGCTTTACAAGTACGCGAAACTACCCGAGGCAACCTTACCGTAGGTCAGCTTCCTCCCGAAGATCCTCGCCGTCGTCCCAAGTGTCAGCAGATAATCGCCAGGAATCATCGTAACTCAAGATATCGTGACGGGAAGATTTCGACGCGAACGCTATCGAGGATGATCCAAGAGTGCTCCCGAAATTTCGCTCGATGGCGGAATCGATAGCGCGCCCAAGAAGACTAGAGACCAGGAGACCGAGGGTGTTTACGATAACTAATCGGATCGCTGATCGGACTGAGCAGTGGCACTCAACCGCTAGACTTCTAAATTTCCCCAGACTAATCCGGATCAGTGATCCCTCTCTCACAGCAGCACAGCACTGATCCCGCATGGTGGAAGAAAGTTGACGGAGAAATTATAATTTTATTGAAAGGTAATTCCAGGTAATCCTTTTTATTTGTCATAAATAATTGTACGAAACATAAAATAAAGTTAGTAATAGTAATTTTAAATGTATTTATTTTAATATTTTTGGTCTAAACATTGGATTCCTTTTCATAAAATTAATCTATTCCAAAGTTTGAGGTTATATTGGAAAAGCGTAAAATTAATAAAAAAACATTTTATTAATTATTAGATAAAAACTGATGACTGATGATTGATGATTGATGATTGATGACTGATGATTGATCATGACTGGACATCGCCTATAACGCATGAAGGTAGTTCGGAAGACACTATACTGTGGTAAGTTATAAATGTAGATAAAAATTATGCAATTTGTAATTATTCATGTTACAATATGAAAATAAGAATTTATTTATATCTTTGCAGAAAATATTGAATATATCCGTCGTGCGCAGACACTCGGCGACGGTGTACAAACGAGTGCGGAGCTGATCTGCGCGGTTTGCGACAAGACTGACAAGCTGTCGAGGTGCTCGCGTTGCTAAGTCGTCTTCTACTGCACCAAGGAGCACCAGAAACGCGACGGGAAACGCCACCGGGTTTTGCGAGACTTACCCCGTGGCCGTCGCGTCTACGGAGGAACCGTTCTCTGCCATCTCTGCTACCTTTGCTACTTCTGCCGCTGTCCTCGCGAACGAGCGTTCCGACCCCAAGATCGGTGAGATCTTTATTAATTGTTAGATAGATAAAAATTGGCATAAAAAAATATTCTATTAAGTTAAACGTGCAATGCGTGCTGTCTTGCCTTTTAGAATGCCTAAGTTTATATCATATCTGTTGTAATTTCAATTTTTACATTTTGTGATCTTGTTACAGCAAATCAATTTAATAGAATGCTTTTATTGTATAGAAATGTTCAATGATATTTCTTGTTTATTTTCTTTTAATTGAAAGTAATCCTCTTTTTCTTCTTATATATTTTAATTTTCTTAGATTACATAAAGTTAGGCATTGTAACATGCAAGAGCATACGTATAACAATATACAAATATATACACAAATAACTTGAATTCCAGGTCAAAACGCTCGTTCGCGAGGACGATAGCGACAGAGAGGTAGCGGAGGTAGCAGAGGTGGCAGAGAACGACTCCTCCGTAGACGCGACGGCCACGGGGTGAGTCGCGCAAAACTCCCGGTGGCGTTTCCCATCGCGTTTCTGGTGTTCCTTGATGCAGTAGAAGACGACTTAGGAACGCGAGCACCTCGACAGCTTGTCAGTCTTGTCGCAAACCGCACAGATCAGCTCCGCATTCGTTTGTACACCGTCGCCGAGTGTCTGCGCACGTCGGATATATTCAATATTTTCTGCAAAGATATAAATAAATTCTTATTTTCATATTGTAACATGAATAATTACAAATTGCATAATTTTTATCTACATTTATAACTTACCACAGTATAGTGTCTTCCGAACTACCTTCATGCGTTATAGGCGATGTCCAGTCATCGATCAATCATCAGTCATCAATCATCAATCATCAATCATCAGTCATCAGTTTTTATCTATCTAATAATTAATAAAATGTTTTTTTATTAATTTTACGCTTTTCCAATATAACCTCAAACTTTGGAATAGATTAATTTTATGAAAAGGAATCCAATGTTTAGACCAAAAATATTAAAATAAATACATTTAAAATTACTATTACTAACTTTATTTTATGTTTTGTACAATTATTTATGACAAATAAAAAGGATTACCTGGAATTACCTTTCAATAAAATTATAATTTTTCCGTCAACTTTCTTCCACCATGCGGGATCAGTGCTGTGCTGCTGTGAGACAAGGATCACTGATCCGGATTAGTCTGGGGAAATTTAGAAGTCTAGCGGTTGAGTGCCACTGCTCAGTCCGATCAGCGATCCGATTAGTTATCGTAAACACCTTCTATCGTCTCTTTTTCTCCCTATCTCGCTTCAAATCTACCGCCACCCTACTCCTTCCCCTTTTCTTTCTGAGATGTCACCACCTCTCAGCCTTTCTTCACCCACAATGTCGCCACCTCTCAACCGCCTGCCACTTCAATTTCTCTCTAAGGTGTCCCTAACCTCTTTCTGACCACACACCGTTACTAACTAATAACTACTAACTAAGCTCTTTTACTCTTCCTTGCTTCTCGCCTCCACTTCCACCGTCTTTGCCACTTCTCCCTTCTCTCCACCACTACTCTCCTCTCTGCTGCTACTCCTAATCTCACTCTACGCCTTACTTTTTCGCTCTCTATCGCGCTCGCCAACCACCCGCTTCCACTCCTATACCTCTCTCCCTTTCTTATTAATTATAAATCACATATTATTTTATTTTTTAGACTCCCTTGTAATTTTTCAATTTTTTCATTCTTACTCACTCGCTCTCTCCTTCTATTTCATTTTGTTTTATTTTGTTTGATTCACTCTCAGTTACGTTCTTTCACCACTATCTTTATGTAGTCTCTTTCTACTATCTTTATATAGTTTCCTTCATTCT